CAGACAAAACGAATCGAGAGAGATATAGACAAATGTATACATAAATGCTCAGAATTAAAAGAGAAATCGAGTAAGCGGTGCCTGTCTGTCCGTCCGTCCGTCCGTCCGTCCGTGCACACGATAACTCGAGTAAACATTGAGATATCCTAAAGAAACTTTGTACGTGCACTTCTTTCAGGCGTAGGACGGATGGTATTGAAAATGGGAAAAATCGGACAATAGCCACACCTACTTCCCATATAACGGTAATTTTCAGAAATACGAAAACTGCAATATTTTAGCAACTACTGAATAATTTTTAGACGAAAAATAAGAATATTATAAATTTTTGGAAAATGGGCGTAGCCACGCCCACATATGGTTACATGTGTATATCTTGGTAACCGCTGCACCAATTTCTTCCACACTTGGCTCAGTTGTTAGCCTTGCTACAGCATACCAAACGGCCGAAAATTTCAATAATCGGACAATAACCACGCCCACATCCCATATAACGGTAATTTGGAGAAATACGAAATCTTCGATAAATCAGTAAATATTAAAGCTAATTTATTCAAAAATGATGCTTACAACAATTCTTTACCAAGAAATACGTTTATGATAACATTTTGGAAAATGGGCGTGGCACCGGTAACCGTTCTACCAATTTGTACCAAACTCGCTATGGTTATTGGGCTTGTCACGTAAAAGCAAACGATTGAAAATTATTGAAATCGGCCTAAAAAACGGTAAATTTCAGAAATGCTTGAAACTTCAATATTTCGAAATTTAAGAACGCTAATTCACTCAAAATTGATACTTTCTTTCGGAAAGGTGAAAATCATGCATTACCTCATATATTATAAAACTTAGACTTTCTTAATTGGGGTTTTGTCACTTCTTATAAGATGTCATAACCCCAATTGGGATAATGTCAATCTAGAGCCTAAAGCATACTTTCCATCTTCTATTAAAATTTTTTTACGCAAAAATTATTCCGCCGCTCTTTTCCGGCAACGCTGAAAGGAGCATTCAACATCGAAGGAGAGTTCTGCTTCGTAAGGGCCACAAACCCTTAGCGCGGCCGAAGGCCGCCTACCCAGAAAGAAGTTCTGAGCAAAAAAGTGGAACCTTAGCAAACGCGGCGTCTAGTAATGACTCTCAGTTATACATCTGATCTATATTAGATCACCTATAGGCGATGGCAGAAAATAATGTAGGCGAAGCCAGCAAAATTACATGAGGGATTTGGAACTTCGTTGCCTTTTCATTTGGAAATATGTCACTCCTTATATAGTGACATAACCTCAAGTAAAAAAATTGGATATTTATGTCACTACACAAGGCTGCAACGCCTGAAAAATCTACTATGGAGCTGCAGCTTAAGTACGCTCTGCTCTTCAATATGCGCTCTCCCATTGAAACATATGCGTTTGTAATCGGCGCTTTACTCGATGCTCTTTGCTCGCCGCTACACTGTGTTTTAGCCTTACCCTCCACAACGCGACGAGTTTCCCAAGGTATACGAACCTACTACAACTGAACTGCATCGTACTCCGGAGCAAGATCGAAGAGATAACCGTATTTATGGGTCGGCATGGCATACAATATGATCCATAAAGATCACGAGCGATACAATACTGAAGGCCTAGCGTTCATCCTACATCATACTGTGCAGTATCGTCTAATTTCAGGAGAGACTGGCCCCAGGGCGACAACCTTAGAATACCAGGGCATAGCTGTCCGGTGAGGGGATGCCGAGCTCGAAATATTTAACGTGTAGTTACCCCCTGGACCTGCTGCGTGGCAGGATATTACCCTGAAATAGGTGCGCTCCTCAGAGGCGAATACCGCGTGATAGTCGGCGATATTTGGCATTCAATTCCGTCGAATGATAGTAGGGGAACACACTTGGCTGAGCAGATAGACGATCCGACATTCTGCACAATGAACGACGATGCGCCCCAGGATTATGGGCAGCTGCTGCAGATCGACTTACATACTAATTGAACGCGCTGGTGTGATAACCAGCATAACGTGGCGAAGGATGCTGACATTAGCATCAGAACATCTGCCCATAGTCATCTCGATTGATAAACCAGCCGACTGTGCTTCCGCGGAACACCGAACTATATCTACTTTTCTAAAGGTGATTGGAAAGGCTTGGAACGGCATCGCGAAAGTTACTGAAAGCACCTTCTCTTCCCTTCCCACACTAACTGACGTTCAAGTAAGTGAGCGTAAGTTCCGCAGGATGTCACTGCTGCTGCAGCCTGATTCATTCCAGCCGGATGTATCTCAGATTTTCCGGCCGAAGCGGCTGTTGTAGCTGATGAGCGTGAAAACCTTCGTCAGGCCGTTCCCCCGAAATCTCCGAATTAGGGATTTCAGTACGGAGATTCGGTAACTTGTGAACATACATAAGCGGAAGAGCACTTAGAGACCTGCAACTTCACCTCTGGTGTGAGCATGCTTTGGTCAAGCGTGAGGTCATTCTCTAACCCGACGAAGCGTGACGACAGAGTCGAAATCTCTTTCGGCGACCGCGCCTTGCCTTGTAGCCTGATGCTGAAAAAATTGGGTCGTGCGGAAGAAGACTATCTTACCAAGGTCCTCAACCTAATTATGGCCACTCTCATCGTTCCAGACATCCGAAAAATGGCGAGAGTGGTCCCACTTCTGAAACCGGCCAACAAGGAAGCGAAGACAGTAGAAGCCTTTCTACTCCCGCATTACACGAACCATCTGACACCAGCGAGGCATCAGCATTGATTCCGTAAAGTGAACAGCACAATAACAGCACTTAGGGCCGGTTGTTCAATGTCTGGTTATCTACTTGCTTGATACTTGCCGGTTAAACATCATTATTGACGTTTTCGACATCACGCATATAACATGTGATCGATAAAGCAGTCATTGTATTTAACCGGACATTGAACAACCGGCCCTTAACTACATAAAGACTCAGATAACGCGTGGCCTATACTGTAACCGACCCTGTGAGAAAACAGTCCTAGTAGCGTTGGATGTGTCAAAGGCATTTTATGACTTGTACTCGAAAGTAAACGGTTACCTCTCCGAACTTTATTGCTTCTTCACTGCAAAAAATTCCCCTAAAAAATTCTCGGCAACCTTCTTTACCACCTGGACGAAGGAAGTCAGACAGCAGGGTATTAACGTCGATGGGGAACCAATTCTGATTGGGAATAACCAGAACATCTTCAGGTTTACCGCAAATAACCTTTAATTTGTTATTGGATGTAAGAAATATTTACCTATGTTGCTGTATTTTGTGAGAAAACTAATAAAAGATTTGAATAATTGCCTCTACTTTATTATCTTTTATTTTAGCCTAAAGAATTTTTAATTTAGCTGTTTTTAGCTCTTTTTTTCCATTCAGTTGGATTGCTGAAAAAACTTCTGGCAATACAATCGCAAGATATAAGAAGTGATTAGGGTTCGAACGATACTATCGATATTGAGTAAGTATCGATACTGAGGGTATAAAAATTAGTACTTTAATACTCGATACCTTATTTGGTGATTTTACTCGATACTTTCCAAAGTACTCGTAGTATCGAATACTTTTTAAAAAACACACTTTAAATTTTGTCTTCCATTAGCAACCCAATTTTCTTTGCTTATATGGATTACTATCATTCAATTTTGTCCATCACTTAAAATAACCTGAAATTTCGTGTGGTCTGTTACATAACATAAACCAAATAAGTTAAAGTTTAATGGCCTTATTGATAAAAAATAAAGTAGGCTTAAAGAGCTTAAATAAAATGACACTTGCATACATTTTTCAGTTTATAGTTTATAAACCTTTTTTATTTTTTATGAATAAGGCCATAAAAATTTACTTTAAACTTTACTTTAAAGTTCACGAAAATACAGAATTTTTAGAAACTTTTAGGGTATGCAGTTTTGTAACCTATTCAACTTTCCGTGTAGCCTACTACCGTTGACTTTTAATTAAAACTTGCACAATATTATACAAAACTGAATAGGCTACAAAAATGCATACCCACAAAGTTTCCAAAAATTCTTAATGAAATTTAAAATTCGTGAAAGTAAATATGTATGCACATTTAACGTTTAAATTACTTCTAACGTGGAAGTAAGTTCTGCAATGAAATAAAAATCAAATATTTTAAATGTCTATTGTTTTAATTTCAGGAAATAACTAGATATACGATTGAAGAACAAAATAATTTTAGTATACCAAAAACGTATTTTAATGAGTCCGATACTGAGTAGTATCGATACTTTTTCCCTGATACTTTTAGAGTATCGATACCATGAGCTCGATGCCAGAATGAGTACTCAGTATCGATACCAAAGTCTGAAATTTCGAACCCTAGATGCGATCACTAGAAGAAAAATGTTTCACTTAAAACTTTTACAAAAGCTTCACTCTTTTTTAAGGTATTAAGGTTTTTCAACAATCAAATTTCGATCTTTGGCCTTCGATATCTCCATAATTTCCGCGACTAATTTTAAGTATTGTTATAATCAGTTGAAAAAGCTCTAACGATTCCTATTTTTAGTTTTTTTCTAGCGAAACAGTGCGTATTCTTTACTGGTTCCAACAATCCTGTGAAACGAAGAGTTTACGAAATTAACTATTAATGGAAGGAAGGAAGGAATGGAAGGAATCAAAACAGTAATATATATTTATATAACTTTTAGTCATCAATTGTATTTTAAATTGTCTAAAAATACCAAATCTTAACGTACATACTTTTACTTAAAATTACAGATTGTTGGTAGTCCATCTTCCTGTAAACCTAATCAGAGTTTATTTGACAGATGCACACTAATCGGCCATTTTAAAAACTCTTTTCGAGCCGACTTTTGAATATGTTCTGATTGAGCGTTTAACCACATATGGTGCAAACGGCCCTTAACACTCAGCAAAAAACGAGTAAATTTAAACAAAACGGCAACGCTGGTTTACAACGAAGAACAAAACAACAAAAAAGACAAAAAAAAACAAAATTCTGAGTAAACGTCAAACAGCAGAAAGCAACAGGAAACAATAACAACAAAGTCGAAATCACATTCAACAATTGTGGGTGCAGCATCGGTGGCACTGGGCCAGAATATTTTTTGCAAATTTATACTTCTCTACTTACCAGTCGCCAAAGTAAAACACATTTTTTATCCAGCCGGATAAGTTAAATAAGCAGTGAAAGATGTTACATGAAATTAGTCAATAGGAGCTATTATGAATGCAATATTCGACAGCTTTTTGCTTATAAAAGCAGAAGAATTGATAACCCCAGAGGTTAATGCTAACAGATTGTAGGCCGTGAAAATTAAAACTTCGCCAGAGAACGTCGAGCGAAAGAGCGATGAAGAGCTTAAACAAAAATGGGCAATAATAAATAACAAAAGAGGTAAGCTAAAATGATCTAGAGTTGGTTGGAGGCCGATCTGTGTAACGTCTCCAGCAGCAGCTGCTTGGCTGAGGAAAAAACGACTGTGTACGCTTTTCTACTGAGCAGTGTTGGTGACAATGAATTGTGAGCCACAAGTTGCGCTTTGTGGGTCTCAATTGTTGGGTTAGTACATTTTGGCCACATCACGCGAACAGTCGTGCAGCTACGCTTCGTTACGATAGCTTCAAGCGCTGTGGTAGCGGTAAAACTGGATTTGATTTTCTAAAAAATTGTGCCATAGCGAAAGAAAGACGAAACTAAACACCGACTAAACGAACCAGCCAAACAGCTAATGAACTAACATTAGCATAAAATTCCATTTAGATTGGTCAAGAATTTAAGGCGAAAGTTGGAGGTTTGAGTGATAGCTGCAATGCAGTAATTAAAGTGGTAGCAGATACAGGCGAATTTTTTATTATAACTACATATTTGATGTAGTTTACTAGTGTACGGGAATGCGTACAACATCAACAAAGTGCAATTCTAATCCCTGCTCCCTTAAGTTACATTACGGGAATATAAATAAGAATATTAGACCCACTATTAGCGATCATTTTACGCCACTCCTCGCATATACTTCACTCAGCTAGCCTTAACACAATATAACTGAAAAAATGTTACGTTCCTTCCGTTCTTTTTACGGCAAAATAATAATTTTTGCGCTGGTGGCTCTCTGCTTTATACTTTACATTAAAGTGCTGCAGGTGGAGGACACGTTAAGCGCAACACAGCAGCAAAATGCAAAATTCAAAGACAACCCCGAGGAAAACGATGTACTACCCAAAGATGATCAGGCTGAGCGCGGAGTACATATCAATCCACGACATCGAGTACTTGAGCGTCAGGAAGATAATGAAATTCTAAAAAAACCAAAACAAACCTCACGTCAAAGTGAACCACCATATGAGCTAAGTATACGTTTGGATTTGGAAAAGCAAAATTCGGCGTTAGGTGCGCTTGGCACGGCAGCGCACTTGAGCGGCGAAGCAGCAAGACGTGGCGAGGAGATTTACAAAAAGATATCGCTGAATGAAGAACTCAGCGAACGGTTGCCTTATAATCGAACTTTGGCTGACTCGCGGCATCCTGCATGTTTGAAACATACTTTTGATGTGCCAACTTTACCTAGCGCTAGTGTTATTATAATTTTCTTCAATGAACCATACTCTGTATTGGTACGTACGGTGCACAGTACTTTGAATACCTGCAACGAAAAAGTGCTCAAGGAAATAATTTTGGTCGATGATGGTAGCACGAATGAAGAACTGCATGGCAAGTTGGACTATTATATCAGCTCGAGAATACCAAATGGAAAGGTACAAGTGCTGCGATTGAAGAATCGGTAAGTTGAAGACTTGTGTGATATTATCATGAAAACTTATATTTTTTATATAGGAGCAAGATAAATTTAAAATTAGGTTTAGGTATTCGTTTTTCTTTCCTCGTTTATATTCAACGAAAGGCAACTTCGCCTAAGTCTAAACGATGCACCGAAAATCCGATAAGGCCAAAAATTAGACGAAATACTTGAATCAAGATCGACTCCTTCTGATTCGCATGGAGATATGCTTTGCTTTAATTACGCAAAATGTTGCATACTAAGTTTAGCGAAATATTTTAAGAAAATGTGTATAAGAAGTTTTCCCTCTCCTGTAAAATTTTTAAAAACGGACTTAGCAACTTTTCACTCTACATATATCTATGTTTCTTAAATCTACCGAACTTAAAAGGTTTGATGGTTAAGAAATAAATTCCGAAAAGCAATGACCACATATTTCATTTGGAAATGGAGTGCAATGTATGTATGCTTATATAGACATATAAACTACGAAAACTATATTTTCCTTCATTCATTAGGTCAAGCTACTCATAAACTCTACTAAAAATTGCTCTTTGCTCTATACGACAGAGTAATAAACGATGTTCAAAAGCAAAAAGCGATTACATGGTTATTTGCGCAACGAATATCCAAAAATGATTGCAAAAATCTCATTGAGGCTGCAACAATATTGATGCGCAACTTGCTTCGCTTGCACTTTATTCTACTCGAACTTTGGCAACTAAAAAATTCATGGTTTACAACTCATAAATTATTCGGCATCTTCAATATATCGCTAGCTCAATAGATTGCATCTTGAAAGGTCAATAAGCCTTTACATATAAAAACATAGTTTGGCCTAAATGCCATTTGTCAATTCTCAGAGCGCTGAAGACTTTGTGCTTTAAACTTGCTCTACAGCAGAGCATCGATATACATACGTATCTACATATATACCTACAGACAAACATACATCGACATCGTTGCTGTATTCTTCACTCATCATGCTGTATTTAAACACATCAAATAGTAATCATTTTCACTATTCGAACCTAAATTCGATTAACGTGCGATGTGCCAAACTTCTTACCTTACGTTTGATTCGCTCTTGATGTTTTACTAGTCCAAGCAACTTTTCTATTTGCATATATCTATACTTGCCGATACCGGTGTAAATGAATGTGCATAGTTTAGTGTGGCTTGTAGCTGGCGGTTGCTTAACATCTTTTTTTTCCATTTGGTGTGTCTGCTTTTAATTTGAATACTTGATGCTGCGGAGGCTGAATCCAGCCTCTGGGTGTTGTATCATTTGTTTTGCGGCGAGCACTTTACACACATATGCATATTCATATACATACTACAAATACGTATACGTATGTAGGAGAGCAGGAAATCTTATTCGCGTATATAGTTATTTTTATATTTTTTGAGATCATATTTAGTATTTTATTACCAATAAATATAATACTTGCAGTAAAAATAAACTGCATATGTACAAACGTACACACATATAATGCAGGAAAAAAATGATATGTGCATATTTATACACTTGTTGTTGATCTAGCAAGTTCAGCTGCCCACTTCTGAACGGTTGGTTATCTTAGCTGGACCACCTCCGCGTTATTTCAATAAGTTATTTGATATTTTATTTGCAATAATTAGTAACCAAATCTCTTTCTATCCCCACCCTCTTTTAGCCTTGGTTTGATACGCGCCCGTTTGGCTGGTGCGCGCATTGCTACCGGTGATGTGTTAATCTTCCTGGACGCGCATTGTGAAGCGAATATTGGCTGGTGTGAGCCACTTTTGGAGCGTATCAAAGAGTCACGCACCAGTGTGCTGGTGCCGATTATTGATGTAATCGATTCAAAAGATTTTCAATACAGCACGAACGGCTATAAGTCGTTTCAGGTTGGCGGTTTTGAATGGTCCGGTCATTTTGATTGGATTGAGGTGTCAGACCGTGAGAAGAAGCGTCAATTACGTGACTGCAATCAACCGCGTCAAATATGTCCTGCATACAGTCCGACTATGGCCGGAGGTTTATTCGCCATTGATCGGCGTTACTTTTGGGAGAGTGGCAGTTATGATGAACAGGTGAGTATTTGGGAGAGAAGAATTAGACCATTGGGGATGTCCCAATTAAATCATATAATTAAGTAATATGTCATTCAACAGTTGAATATCGTTTCAAAGGTCGGATTGGGTTAGTTTTGATAATTATTCTTGGATAAGAAAAGGTTCAGTTGTTTCTATTTTTATAAACAACATTTTATTTAATTGAAAAAGGAACTGCTTCGAATTTTGTAGGCTTTTTGAAAACCTTGAATTAAATTCTCTAACACTAAAATTTTTCATGTTCGCTGGCCAGTAATTGTTATTTAAACATTACTAAATATAAATTAGCGATATGAATTGACGATATACATATGTAAATTTACGATATATATATTTACATTTAGCAAAAATGCGATTTTCAAGCTGTTGTTATTGTAACAGCTTAAGAATTCTTCACAGAGCTCTTGGGGAATGACTCCAGTTACGTAGATTCGACTGTCGTTGGAACGTGATCTTTCAGATTATTCAATTTGTAAAATAATTTTTGAGACTGCCCATTGACAATGTTTTATAATTCCCTTGGCAAAAAAGAAACTATTTTTCCTTATATGGAGCGTGAGGCATTCATACATATCTATGTACACAATAGCCCAACTCCGCTCTGGCTACTGCAGCAGGTTGATTTCATACCTGAGCAGAATTAATGCAGATGTGCCAAATGAATGCCCGGCATGCGGAGAGACGCCCCATGATTCGAAGCATCTCTTCGCTTGCCCACTGAACCTTTGCTAACGCCTTTGTCCTTAGGACAGACCCCATCGATTCTGCAAGCTTCGTGCTAGTAGAGCTTGACGACAACGATTGAAGGACTTCCGATCAGGGTGGTGTTGTTGTAGCCACTACAACAATAATAACAACAACAACATGTACATAAGTGTATATACCTTCTTATTAATTGTTTCTACTTATTCCTCTAAAATATTTTTTTTAGTGTTTTTGTACTAAATGTTTTCTACTTTCCTTGATTGCAGATGGATGGCTGGGGTGGCGAAAATCTGGAAATGTCCTTTAGAATTTGGCAATGCGGTGGCACCATTGAAACGATACCCTGTTCGCGAGTGGGTCACGTTTTTCGAGACTTTCATCCATACCAGTAAGTACAAATGAATTAACGGTAATATAAATGGGTAAATTTGATATTAGTTGTACGGCGGCCCCCATGGGCGAGTGTTTGGAGGTGTCACTTAGAAAGCTTCAGGTTTGTTGCCAGGGCCACGTGAAATATAAATTATACTAAAAGCCTAACTTGTTTATTAATCAGTACACAAATTCTCTAAAAAGTTTTTTGAAAGCTGCTAGAGTGATAGTTTTTGATCTGGATCATTCCGGTTTGCGTAGAACGGATTTCGTGGTAACGTCTGAATTATCTAAACGTACCAGAACTTTTAACTAGAAATAGTGGAAACTGACAAAGGTCTATCTAAGGCTAAAAGCACTATGGCAGCTTTGAGCTATGCATGCATTAAAGTTCGTCACACGTGATAAACAGGGCGTCCGAATAGAACTAGTTCGTCCCAAGTACTTTTTTATTGTATAATAAAACTACTGGGGTCTTCTACACAGACGTTAAGTTGAGTTCATTTAAGAATACTAGAACTTTTGTATGAGGAACCGACTATAGAATTTATTTAAAATACTGTTTCTTAATGTTTTGTTTACTACTTATTATAACTCGAAGTGATTCTGATTTCCGCATGAAGAAGTTCAGCGAAGGTTTTTGCACCCACTTGCATGTTTTTGAAGTTATATATGCTAAAAAAAGGTATTGTTGTGAGGCTTTTTGTTCAGGAGTACAAAGTAATTTGCGAGTATAAAATGTATGCGTACAATTTTTCCTTTCACTTACATATGTATGTACATATGTATAACATTTTAATATACATATAATATCATATTCGGTTTAAGTAAATTTATTTCTTGCCGGCAGCCTATATATGTAACAAAAGAGGCCAAGCTTGTATTTAATGTTTAAACAAGTGTATCCATTCTGTTTCAGGGCTCTTCAACTCGATTGCCTTTCTTTATTCCAATAATTACGACATAAATACATATATATATATTCACTTGTGTTTATTATACAAACTGTTTTTTTATATTATCATACTTTAGAGCGCTTATTGTTCACTCTATTTTCACTTCCAGATTCCCGAATGATCGCGATACACACGGCATCAACACCGCACGCATGGCGCTCGTCTGGATGGATGAATATGTCAATCTCTTCTTTCTCAATCGGCCCGATTTGAAATTCCACCCCGACATTGGCGATGTGACGCATCGTGTAATGCTACGTAAGAAATTACGTTGCAAAAGTTTCGATTGGTATTTGAAAAATATTTATCCGGAGAAATTTATACCCACCAAAAATGTAATAGCGTATGGTCGCATACGTGCCGTTAGCAAAGACTTGTGTGTAGACGATTTGTCGCAGAATAATGAGAAGCCCTACAATTTGGGTATATTCTGGTGTGCCAAAACAGTGACAAAATCTCAATTTTTTACGCTCACCAAGTCGCATGTACTACGAAATGAGTTAGGTTGCGCCACAGTGCCGCATAGTGATGGGGATGCGCGTGTCGTGAAGATGGTGACATGCATGGATAACGATGATTACAATGAGCAATGGGACTATGAAGATGAACATTTGATGCATGTAAACACCGGCTTGTGCTTGGATCATAAGGAATTGCGTAGTTCAGATGAGATACAAGTGACGCGCTGTGATAGTGAGAGCGAAACACAGCGCTGGACCATACAGCATGGTAAATTGCTGTGAAAGCGGCAGCGAGTGGCAGCAGAGTAGGTGGAGAGAAGTCAAAAGTTTTTATTATGTATTACTTTAAAACTAAAATCAAAGCCATTGTGTAAATATTGCAAACAAAACATACAGATGCATATGCACAAATCGACTTATATATTATACATATGCTTACATATATATGTACATATATGTATGTACCATACGGAGTGTACAGTTTTTCTGACTACTCCTTGTACCATAGCTAGGGGATTTACTAAATATGTAAATTATTTTGATACGCAAAAATATTGTATGCTAACATTACGAATGTATGTATGACGCGAATTATGTAATGAAAGCGAGTATGTGTAATTACGTGAAACTAAGCATTCCTCATTGAGACCCGTTTGCTGTTTGCGCCAGTCTAAAAAAAAAGTAATTATTTTACATTCATACGTTACAACTAAATTTAAATATGTTTGTAATTACTGAGCCGTGTAGTTAGTTGAAATATATTTAAATGTGATTTGCTTTTTTAATCTTGGCATAAGATTACCGGACGATTTAGCGTGAAGAGTGTTTATATATTTACATATATCTACATACTTACATATGTTTATATCTACATACATATGTACATATATGGTTTTTTTTTTACTGCAAGTCAAATCACATATGTATGTACATGTTTAATTTAATTTTTTTACTTTCTTCATTATGTTAATCGGCCTTATCTAGAATTCCATGTGTAAAAATATTCCCAAAATTATGAAGTAAAAGCAAAACAAACCGTCAAAATTTGGCTTTGTTTTACTTCAAATTCATGGGAACAATTTCTTCCCATGTAATTCGCGACTAAGCTGGGTATTTGCAAATTAGCACTATTCTAATATGTACATACGTAGTTACTAAACTCGAATAATGACAATAACTCATTTAATTATGACAGCGAAACATATTTATGTATTTTTTTTTTTGTATTTTAGAAACTAGTTGGACGTTATGTGCTTAAAAAATCCTTATCATTGTAAAGTTAGAAATAATTATATACATACATAATTTGCATTTACCTCCATACTTATACATACATACATATATTTTATAAGTAGCAGTATATCTGTGGTCACAAGCAATAACCGCCTAAGTCGACTCAAGAAATAATGGAGTTATATATGCTATTGTATTTTTCAACCACTATTCCATGTGTATGTGAAATCCCCATCTCGCCAGCTAGACTACTTATAAAGTTATAGGCGAAAATATTTTGGTTTCCCCATAAGGCTAACATTACAATCGAAATGTTTAAAACGTTTTTTCTCGAATTAAAGTTTTTCGACTTAGGCGGTTATTGCTTATGACCACAGATACATATAGTATTTAAAATTAGTATTTTATTTTGAGTTGTAACTTCATACTATGAATATAAAATTATTGCATAGAGTATTCGTTTTTATACAGATTTACAGATTTACATATGCACATATCTATGTGAGGCCATGAGAGCTCGTGTAGACATTTTGAAAAAAGTAAAGTAAAGCAGATTATTTACCTTGAAAGTTACCGGATACGACGGTGGTTTTTTAGACATCACATTATGAGTTTCGAAAATTTGACATTTGTTAAGCAAAACAACATTGACAGATAATATTCTGCCGAGTGGTTTTGATTTAACAGCCTCTCAAGCAAACATAGCTTGGAACGGATTCATTCGGCCTTTAGTCATGAAGTGCCATCAAAATCCACTCTTTATGACTCGTTTGCAGAATTTAAACTTGGACGCGTCAGCCTCAGTTAACTGCAGTTGCTGCAAACATCGATGCTGGGCGAGAAATTATTCTGATGGAACGGCATTCTTGCACATTGGCAAAAGGCGAAATGAAAATGATTTTGCGTGTACATTTAGTACTGAAGAAAGTCTGCAGTCAGAGCTAAATAAGAGGCTCCTGAGGACTGGACCAAAGAAATGCTGAAAAAATTCAATCGTGTCTCAATACTCAAACCATCGAATCCCACACAAAATTTATACAGGAGAAATATACTACTTTGGAGAAAGTCTATAAAACAGCAACCTTTCTGCATTTGCTTAAGGATTGGCAAATCCGATTTCCACATTCTAATTTGAAATGAAAATCGCCGTTATAAAAGGTAAGACTCCTGGAAGCGATCGAATCGTAATAAAAAATCGTTCTGCGGAAACAAATTACACAGTTATAGACCTTTGCAACTAAATTTTAAATCAAAAACCAATAACCACAAATTTGAAAGCATGCTATCGTTGTCCCCATACCTAAGGCCCACCAGCGTCGTACAGCCGTTTCAGGCTTCAGACCCACCTCACAAGAGGCCGTTGAAGCATTCAGAAACCATGTTTATGAGCGTCCCCACTTCAGAGTTGAATTCATGTTTCGACAATTAGTGGTTTCTTCGAATGCAGAAGTGTATAAAACTTAAAGGCGAATATTCTGAAAAAACAGGAGTATTTTTTTGTTAATAAAATGTGTACATTTTCTCCTTTTTCCGGAAACTTTCAGGGTTACCCTCGTACTTATAATATGCAACAGCAACACATAGCTACAATGAGTTTCTTAGATTTTACCAAACAATTGTTAAAAGCTTTGTTCATTCTTTCATGTTATCTCAATTTAATGTTTTTGTAAATAGGCTACACTGGCCCTCATCGCCTTCTACATATGTATGTATGAATATGCAGCTGCGCCCGTCCTCAAATATATTTTCTTGTAAATTGTTTCATATTGTGAATAAAACCGTGTTGTTAAAAAAAAGATTATGTATTCGAAAAGGAGCTTTTATTTTACCTTGGTTGGTTTTTTTGCAAGAAACGATTTGCAGCACCCCTATTAAATTCTCTTACAGTGTGCATGGATTTTTTTTTGTCAAGTAAATGTGCGTTTTTTAAAAATGGTAGAATTAATTGGTATTTAATCTCATCAAATGAATTCAATGTTGTTAACTTCGAATTTATACTAAATTGCTTTAATGTGTATATGTATTTTCACTGCTAAAGTGGCTTAACTAAAAAACTTTTATTTATATCAAAATCATATTCCTATGCGAAAATCAATTATATACATATATACTTCTGCACCAAAATTCATATTCATATTTATATGTGCGTATGTACGTGTACTCGTGTGATAATTAAATGATCTAAAATAATGAATAATACAACAACATATTTACATACACATGGGAAATACATATAAATAAATATAAAAAACATTTTTTATTATTAAAAATAAACACAAACCCTAAATTACTAATAGAAAAGTCTTTATAGATACATATCGTTATCTGAAATGCAAAAAAGACGTAACAACATCGTAAATGAAATGGGAAAAGTCGTGACTAATATGTTAATTTTATAACGCGATGAAATTCATTGTATAAAAGTGAATTTTGCATCTTTTATTAATTATGATTTTTTGCATTTCAACGATGATGTTTCTTACGTCTTTTTGCATTTCAGGTAACGATATGCGCCAAAATAAAATACAAACAATTTCGGAAACTAGAAAAAAAGTATATTTTTTATAGAAAAGTACGTAATAGAATACCAAGTTTTGTAAATTCACAAATGCCATAATGAAATAAAATCATACTGCCGGCCACTTGTTTTTTTTTATTTTTCTTAAAAAAATTTAGTATATTGAATATACCATTTTCTATAACAAAAAACATATATGTACATATATGCGATCTTCAAACTTTATTTAAAATTTTTAATAATTCAACAACTTTTCTTCAAAATTTCCAACGCTTTTTTATTTATTTTTTTTAATATCTATATAGTTTTGTAGCCCATTAAATTTTAGTATGATTCATAAGGTGCAAGTTTTTAAGAAATTGCGTTGATTTTTGAAATTTTTTATTTATTTTTTGTTGAAGTTGTTCGGAATATTCTTTCATCCAAAGTATGTTCGGCTATTTTTTATATGGAAGAAAATGCGCAAAACCCTTGGCAATTTTTTAGAGACTTGAAACTTATACTTTATTGTACAAAAATTGAACAGACTAAATTCTAAGCATTTTTTAAGTGTGAAATTTTGATGAAAATTTTTTCAATCATAATAAATTTTGTATAATGTTTGAAAATCGGATTTACGTAGGTTTTGTTAAAGACTATGCTATATTTTTATAAAAATGAATGAGTAATAAATAAACAAAAGGAAAACTGTCAATAATTGGGTTGAAAAGCGGACGTTATTCAAGTGGTCGGCACTGTACATACAACTATGCTCATAAGGAATAACAGCCAAAGTCTAGAAAGGACATTTCGAGAAAACAACTTTTTATATTTGAAATTACTCTAAACGCTTCGACAGACGGCAATGTTGATCCGGAATTAAGGCGCAGATTTTACCCTGACAGACGGCAGTAATGCGTATTAACATACCGGGAGGTCGTGGGTTCGCGTCCCATTACATTTTTTTAATTTAATTTTGTTAATGTAATTATAGTTGTTGTGGACTTTTTAATAAAATTAAACTTAAAAAGTTTAAATTTTAATAAACAAAAGAAAAAAAAATAAAATAAAAATAAAGATTATATAAATATTTATTTGGCACTGGCTTCTAGGAAATTGTAGTACGCAGCTCTCACCAATCGGCTACCGCGAATGCTAAGCACGCTTGCTTTTTTGCCTATTTGGACAATATACAACAGCTGGCCTTTTTGTCCAGTGTTGTCATAGAATATTCCGTGATCCGCATTAATTTTGATCAACTGCAGTTCATTCCCAAGTTACGTATGTAATTCCGAATTAACGAGTTGGTCCGGATTAGAGGTATACGCCGCCGAGCCACGCCGCCGCCGCCGCCGTTTTTTGTCATTCCTCACGCGCCGCCGCCGAGTTACGAAAATACCGGCGCGGCGGCGGCGGCGGCGGCGTTCGGCGCCTAAGGCATTTTGTACAAAATTTTCATTATGTATGTACATTGAATACATCGTTTGAAGGAACTAAATACTACTTGTATAAAAACACAATTTTACGAAATGAAAAATACATTTTTAAATTAGTTTTTTTGCATAATTTGGGTCATTAGACAAGAATATGATCTTCTTTGTTTTTCCAAAAAGAGCGTAACCCAGAAAAAACATAGGTAACATATTTTTCGACGAAAGCGTTTATTACATTTAAATTAGGGTCGAATACTGGTAATCTAACGATTTTTTTCGGCAGTAGACAATTCTTTTCAATACTACAACAATACTACTTTTTATACACCTACTACACAACAAGAAAGTTATAACACAACAAAAACTTTAACGCCAATCTCTCAGAAAGCAGTTTTAATAGAAGCGGCCTCTTTGCATCTAACTCCTCAATTAGTGGAGATATAATAAGGACAAGTTGATTTTTCTATGTATTTTTATACCTTTCATGAGCATGAAATGGTATTATAACTTTGGTCCGATGTTTGTAAGTACCAGAATAAAAAGAGATAGACCCATTAAAATGTATACTTATATGATCAGAACGTCGAGCTGAGTCGATTTAGCCATGTCCGTCTGTCCGTCTGTCTGTCTGTTCGTCTGTTTGTATGCAATCTAGTCTCTTAGTTTTCGAGATATGCGGATAAAATTTGGTGGGTGGGCGTATTTTTATAATGTATTAATCATTTGTCGGAACCGGAAGAATCGGACCACTATAACATATAGCTCCCATACAACTGATTGTTCAGATATGAGATTTTTCGTTATAACTTCTCCATTTATGCGGCTAGGAACATGAAATTTTGCATTACTTGCACCCATTATCAACAGAATACTTACAGTGAAAATTACAAAGATCGGGTCACTATAACCTAT